CCAGACGACAACAACGACACAGCCAGACGACCACAACGACACAGCCAGACGACCACAACGACACAGCCAGACGACCACAACGACAGACGACCACAACGACACAGCCACGACACACGACACCACAACGACACACGACCCAGAGCCAGACGACCACAACGACACAGCCAGACGACCACAACGACACAGCCAGACGACCACAACGACACAGCCAGACGACCACAACGACACAGCCAGACGACCACAACGACACAGCCAGACGAGGAGCCCACGCCACCAGGGGAGAGGAAAGTAGTCGCCGGCGGCTGGCTGTGCGTCTCAATAAACTAGGACCCGTCCAGCGTTATTAGCGCCGTGACGTACGACCGTTCCTGCTGTATTAACCGGGAGAAATACGTCTCCTGTTCCGTTATTAATCAATACGAGGTGGGAAGGGGAAGAGGGAAGGAGAAGAGGGAAGAGAAGGGGGGAATAATGGAAGGAAGAGTGAAATGGAGGGAAGAGTGATGAGGAACTGGCAAATGAAGGGAGTTGGGGAAGGGAAGGAATGATGAGAGGGTTGCTGGGGGGGAAGGAATGAGAGGGGGAGGGAGGGGGTGTTGTTGGGGCTGTGGATTCCCCAATCTAAGGGGGGAGGGGGGCGTGAGCACGCACCAACCATTAGGCCGCCTGAATAAGGAGGTGTAAGTTGTGAGGTGTTGGCCTCACTGCCTCATATTAATAATTCTGAAGAGCGGAGGAACAGGTGGAAGAGGGGGGGGGCAGGGTTCCTGGTGAGGGGGGGGGGAATTATGGGCCTCGAGTGACCTATGACACTCCCATACCCCACATGCTTCACGTGTGTGAAGATTTAGTGAGACTACCTCCAAGCCTCTGGCCTCCAACTTAGGACAGATATTGTCTTTTATATATATATATATATATATATATATATATATATATATATATATATATATATATATATATATATATATATATATATATATAGATTGACCTTATCCTCCTCCCTTCACCCCCCCCCCTTCTCCTTTAGCTTTCTCTCCCCCCATTTCCCAGTCCCACAAGCTTCCCCCCCCTCCCCCCCCCCCTCTGGTAGGCCTCTTCCATTGTACCTATTTTCTATTTTTCCTTTCCAGTTAATGTTAATAATTCCTCTTCTTACTTCCCTAATCTATTTACCTATTTAAGTTCCTTTCACAATAGTTATTTTCCTGATCATTCTATTCTGCTCGGTTATCGTAACCTTTATCTTCCTGCCGATATCATTTATAGTCGTTATCATATCATTCTCTTTCCATGATAATTTATAATGATGTTATCTAATTTGCTGCGGAGTTATTCGCCCCTTAGTCATTATCTTCCTACATGCAAACATACAACTGCTAAGTGGACAGAAGCATCAGGCGAAGGGGGAAAACGTGCCCAACCGTTTCTGTTCTAACCGGGCGTTGAACCCCGGTTCTTCGATTGTGAACCAAGGATGCAGTGCTCCTTCCTCGTCTCTCAAGTGCCAATGACACCGTATTTACGACGAGAGGTAAATAATTGAGTCGTTATCCTCTCCCTGTTCAGGATACCTACGACCAGTGCGTTAAAATTCCCACCGGTGGTGTTATGGTGGTCGTTGGTGGTGCTGGAGACGACATTAGGGGTCGTTGGTGGTGCTGGACACGACACTATGGGGGTCGTTGGTGGCCCACTACAGCTGGACACGACACTATGGGGGTCGTTGGTGGCCCACTACAGCTGGACACGACACTATGGGGGTCGTTGGTGGCCCACTACAGCTAGACACGACACTATGGGGGTCGTTGGTGGCCCCACTACAGCTGGACACGACACTATGGGGGTCGTTGGTGGCCCACTACAGCTGGACACGACACTATGGGGGTCGTTGGTGGCCCACTACAGCTGGACACGACACTAGCTAGACACGACACTATGGGGGTCGTTGGTGGCCCACTACAGCTAGACACGACACTATGGGGCCTACAGCTGGACACGACACAGCCCACTACAGCTGGACACGACACTATGGGGGTCGTTGGTGGCCCACTACAGCTAGACACGACACTATGGGGGTCGTTGGTGGCCCACTACAGCTAGACACGACACTATGGGGTCGTTGGTGGCCCACTACAGCTAGACACGACACTATGGGGGTCGTTGGTGGCCCACTACAGCTGGACACGACACTATGGGGGTCGTTGGTGGCCCACTACAGCTGGACACGACACTATGGGGGTCGTTGGTGGCCCACTACAGCTGGACACGACACTATGGGGGTCGTTGGTGGCCCACTACAGCTAGACACGACACTATGGGGGTCGTTGGTGGCCCACTACAGCTAGACACGACACTATGGGGGTCGTTGGTGGCCCACTACAGCTAGACACGACACTATGGGGGTCGTTGGTGGCCCCACTACAGCTAGACACGACACTATGGGGGTCGCCCACTACAGCTAGACACGACACTATGGGGGTCGTTGGTGGCCCACTACAGCTAGACACGACACTATGGGGGTCGTTGGTGGCCCACTACAGCTAGACACGACACTATGGGGGTCGTTGGTGGCCCACTACAGCTGGACACGACACTATGGGGGTCGTTGGTGGCCCCCACTACAGACACTATGGGGGTCGTTGGGAGCTAGACACGACACTATGGGGGTCGTTGGTGGCCCCACTACAGCTAGACACGACATCAGCGAGGTCGTTACCGTCCGTAGAGTGAAGGTCTTTCACACACTTATGCCAACAGTGCGGTCTTTATTACTGTCAAAACGAGTACTTGATCCTCGTTAACTTTATTATGACCGCGATCATCCTGGCTGTTATCTTGAAATTGGGGAGGAGGAGGAGGAGGTTATCGTAGTGGAGGTGTGGTGCACGGTGCACTCAGAACCCCCACCTAAACATTGTTTACATATATTGTATTCTAAGACGTACCTCGAAATGTTTTCTTTCCTCCTGGGGTTTCCTAAAATGTATTAATACACTAATTTTGTCATTTAAATACAACAGTACCAATATGAAGATGTTTCAGCTATTGTTATTAAGACGTTTGAGTTGCTTCGTTTAATACTGGTGTTATAGATCATCTTATTATAGAAGATTATAGTGACTTGAATATTATGATGATATACACTATATATATATTAACTGAAAGAGGAAACAGCTATAGTGTATGTGTGTTCAGTCTGTTGGTTGCTGGTGTTGTGAGTAGTCTGTGAGACGTAGGTCATTGTGAGTAGTCTGTGAGACGTAGGTCATTGTGAGTAGTCTGTGAGACGTAGGTCATTGTGAGTAGTCTGTGAGACGTAGGTCATTGTGAGTTGTCTGTGAGACGTAGGTCATTGTGAGTAGTCTGTGAGACGTAGGTCATTGTGAGTTGTCTGTGAGACGTAGGTCATTGTGAGTAGTCTGTGAGACGTAGGTCATTGTGAGTTGTCTGTTGACTGTAAGTTGATTGTGAGTTGATTATGAGTTGACTGTTGACTGAGTTTCCCTGGCGATGGCCTACTACCTGTCTTCACCCATAGAGAGAGAGAGAGAGAGACAGAGAGAGAGAGAGAGAGAGAGAGAGAGAGAGAGAGAGAGAGAGAGAGAGAGAGAGAGAGAGAGAGAGAGAGAGAGAGAGAGAGAGAGAGAGAGAGAGAGAGAGAGAGAGAGAGAGAGAGAGAGAGAGAGAGAGAGAGAGAGAGAGAGAGAGAGAGAGAGAGAGAGAGAGAGAGAGAGAGAGAGAGAGAGAGAGAGAGAGAGAGAGAGAGAGAGAGAGAGAGAGAGAGAGAGAGAGAGACAGACAGACAGACAGACAGACAGACAGACAGACAGACAGAAAGCCAGAGACAGGAAGATATTGACCCATCTTGGGATGATGCTATACACATTCCCATATATTATTCCTATGTCTCATCCTTGTTCTTGCATTGAGTTGTTGTTGTTTTTTTGATGCAATGATGATGGGTGAACCCAATTGCACCTTGTTGACCTGGGTACTGGGTCAACCCCCCTTCACTGGGTACCTCATCTAGACGTAAGGTGTAAAGCCTCATCTCAACATTGCCTAGACCACAGTTAGGATACAGCAAGTTACTTAAGTGCCCAATTACCAAACCTGTTCATCTGTCCTCAATGGTGGCAGCTTAATCTGTATTTATTACATAGTTTACGAGCTAGGAGAAGCTGCCAGCTAGGAGAAGCTGCCAGCTAGGAGAAGCTGCCAGCTGGGAGAAGCTGCCAGCTAGGAGAAGCTGCCAGCTAGGAGACGCTGCCAGCTGGGAGAAGCTGCCAGCTACGAGAAGCTGCCAGCTACGAGAAGCTGCCAGCTAGGAGAAGCTGCCAGCTGAGAGAAGGAGAAGCTGTTAGCTGGGAGACGCTGCCAGCTAGGAGAAGCTGCCAGCTAGGAGAAGCAGCCAGCTGGGAGACGCTGCCAGCTAGGAGAAGCTGCCAGCTAGGAGAAGCTGCCAGCTAGGAGAAGCTGCCAGCTAGGAGAAGCAGCCAGCTAGGAGAAGCTGCCAGCTAGGAGAAGCTGCCAGCTAGGAGAAGCAGCCAGCTAGGAGACGCTGCCAGCTAGGAGACGCTGCCAGCTGGGAGAAGCTGCCAGCTGGGAGAAGCTGCCAGCTAGGAGAAGCTGCCAGCTAGGAGAAGCAGCCAGCTAGGAGAAGCTGCCAGCTAGGAGACGCTGCCAGCTAGGAGAAGCAGCCAGCTGGGAGAAGCAGCCAGCTAGGAGAAGCTGCCAGCTAGGAGAAGCAGCCAGCTGGGAGAAGCTGCCAGCTGGGAGAAGCAGCCAGCTGGGAGAAGCTGCCAGCTGGGAGAAGCTGCCAGCTGGGAGAAGGAGACGCTGCCAGCTGGGAGAAGCTACCAGCTAGGAGAAGCTGCCAGCTAGGAGAAGCTGCCAGCTGGGAGAAGCTGCCAGCTGGCTGGTCCTCCACACGAGGTTGTTATTGTTGCTACCTAGTTCGTACAGCGCTTCCTACCTTATAAACTGTTAAGTTAATACTATATGCAGATATGATTGAGGAAAGATGTACTGGTTTCGTAAATAGACACTTGATGGCTTGATGAATTACGGCCCAGATATCTTAATTGCCTGAAAATCAGCGATAGCACAATAAAATCAGCAATAGACACAATAAAATCAGCAATAGACACAATAAAATCATCAATAGACACAATAAAATCAGCAATAGGCACAATAAAATCATCAATAGACACAATAAAATCAGCAATAGACACAATAAAATCATCAATAGACACAATAAAATCAGCAATAGACACAATAAAATCATCAATAGACACAATAAAATCAGCAATAGACACAATAAAATCATCAATAGACACAATAAAATCAGCAATAGACACAATAAAATCATCAATAGACACAATAAAATCAGCAATAGACACAATAAAATAATCAATAGACACAATAAAATCAGCAATAGACACAATAAAATCAGCAATAGACACAATAAAATCATCAATAGACACAATAAAATCAGCAATAGACACAATAAAATCATCAATAGACACAATAAAATCAGCAATAGACACAATAAAATCATCAATATGTAACAAACTAGGCTGTTGTAAGAATTATCCAGAGTGGTTTATCGACAAAAGAGAACGGGAAGCTGAGCCCGCATGGTGACCTGGGAACCTGACCCCAGGGGAATTCGCGGTGGAAATAACCGACGCTTTGTTCATAGCTGCGTATAATGAACCATCCTATAGTATTCAGTAATTTAGAGAAATTAGCCTTTATTCATTTTGCATTAAAATTGTATTGTATAATAGTACTGGATACAATATCAAGAGTATTCTAATTATTGAGTTTAAGTCACCATCAGTGACGTCACGAATCAGATCTAACTTGTAAGGCGGAGTGACCGGCGGTCATAGGTCATCAGGGTTGACAGGTCTACTATTTCTCAAAGTTCAATTAACCATTTTTGGGGGATCGGGAACAGCTCTGCCGTTAGATGTTTGTGTAATTTAATTTCAGTAAAATAATTCAACCAGTCTGGATCAATTCAGTGCAAACAGAGGTTAATTGTTATAACTTAAACCTTGCTAGTAACTTGGTGAAACTTTGACTAGGCGGAAGGTTACAATGCTCTAGCCTGGGCTAGGCCAGACGAGGAAGAGATCAGTGTGGAGACAAGAGCAACTGGGATAAGAGGTCAACCATCTTACCTCTCCCCAAGACCAGCCCAACATCTTTAGCTGGTCGCCCAAGGTATAGTTGCTATTGTTATGTATAGAAATAGTCTCATTTGCCATTCAGGTCAAGTAGGGAGTGTTAAAGTGACAGGGAGTGAACATATTTAGATTTTGTTTTAGTTTTTCTTTTAATAAATTAAATTTGTTAAAATTTTGCATTTTATTATTTCCATGTGTTTTATGTGTAAACTTGTCCTGGTCACGTGGTCCACACGAGGTAAAGTTGGATTGGGCGCCGATTCTAACATCGATTCTAACATCGAATCATTCCCGTGTAATTAATTTCACACTCTTAAGTTTCCACGGTCATCGGTTATAGTGGGGATCAAGCCCCAAGGTTGATTAATTAGCGTGATCGATCCAGACCTCGATCATTGCTCTTGTGTTACTGGTCTGGTGGTGGCAGCGTAGAGGCGACTCTAGGGTTTTGCTCAAAGCTTAGGTCACGCCATACTGGGTGTAGAATCCTAAGTCGGTCAATCGTCTTAGGACCACGTGGCGTGGAGTTGGTTTTGGTAAAAGTTTTGGAGTCCCTTGGTAGAGAATAAAAAGTAAGAATACGGGTAGAGGGAAAAGAAGGAAGATAAGAGAGAGAAACCCAAACCCGTGTTACAAATAGACACAATAAAATCAGCAATAGACACAATAAAATCAGCAATAGACACAATAAAATCATCAATAGACACAATAAAATCAGCAATAGACACAATAAAATCCGCAATAGACACAATACAGTGTTCCAGTTGATAAGGTAATGTGTTCTGAATAGTACTGTCTAGTAGACCCGCTTGTCCTGAAGGTTATTATAGTCTATCGTCACTCCTTGTTTAAGCGTTGTTTAAGTGTTGTTTAAACGTTGTTTAAGCGTTGTATGAGCGTTGCTTAAGCATTGTTTAAGTGTTGTTTAAGCGTTGTTTAACCGTTGTTTAAGCGTTGTATAAGCGTTGTTTAAGCGTTGTTTAAGCGTTGTTTAAGCGTTGTATAAGTGTTGTTTAAGCGTTGTTTAAGCATTGTATAAGCGTTGTTTAAGCGTCGTTTAAGCGTTGTTTAAGCATTGTTTAAGCGTTGTTTAAGCGTTGTATAACCGTTGTTTAAGCGTTGTTTAAGCGTTGTATAAGCATTGTTTAAGCGTTGTTTAAGCGTTGTTTAAGCGTTGTATAAGTGTTGTTTAAGCGTTGTATAACCGTTGTTTAAGCGTCGTTTAAGCGTTGTTTAAGCATTGTTTAAGCGTTGTATAAGCGTTGTTTAAGCGTTGTATAACCGTTGTTTAAGCGTTGTTTAAGCGTTGTATAAGCGTTGTTTAAGCGTTGTTTAAGCGTTGTTTAAGCGTTGTATAAGTGTTGTTTAAGCGTTGTATAAGCGTTGTTTAAGCGTTGTTTAAGCGTTGTTTAAGCGTTGTTTAAGCGTTGTTTAAGCGTTGTTTAAGTGTTATTTAAGCGTTGTATAAGTGTTGTTTAAGCGTTGTATAAGCGTTGTTTAAGCGTTGTTTAAGCGTTGTTTAAGCGTTGTATAAGTGTTGTTTAAGCGTTGTTTAAGCGTTGTTTAAGCGTTGTTTAAGCGTTATTTAAGCATTGTTTAAGCGTTGTTTAAGCGTTGTTTAAGCATTGTATAAGCGTTGTTTAAGCGTTGTTTAAGCGTTGTTTAAGCGTTGTTTAAGTCTGATGTCAATATCGGCTAAATGGCTTTGATGCAGTATTGAATCAACGTTAATATCGTTGATCGTGCATTGATATAACGGTAATCTGGCGTATTTTGGCCGCTTGTGTCACACACGCATCCATCGTTCAGTGAGAACTGTGTTAAATGAACAAATCCACAAGGGCCGTGACGAGGGGTTCGAACTTACGTCCGAAGGGATCCCAGACGCTCCTTAATCGACGGTAGAGAACTGTGTTCTATTCTATTTGGTAAGATTTATTTGAGATCGTTGTATTCCGTCGCACAACGGGAGACTTTACTGACGTCTAAGTGCTTGTTTACAGTGTAGTTTGCTAAGGTGGCATCGCAAAGCGGACACGAAACTGTGGTTTACAGCGGTTCCTAAGTTTACCGAGTCCCTGTGGCTTACACCCCATGAGCCTCGGATGTGGGCAACCAGAGTGCAAAGTTCTTCATTGCTATTGACAATCAGCTCACAGGCAGCTCACAAATAACTCACAGGATGTGTGAACATGTGTCACGACACACACACACACACACACACACACACACACACACACACACACACACACACACACACACAGTCATCTCGGCCAATTAAGTGAAGTGTTTGTAAGTGGACTAATGTGGGTGGGATGTCACGTTGTAGTTAGCATTTACCTTGCTTCTATATGCTTCACGGTGACACCAACACTACATCACGGCGGGTCCAAAGAGCCAGAGCCCAACCCCCGTAAGCGCAACTAGGTGAATACACAAGATTTTTTCAACCAGCAACTAACAGAAGGAAAATACTCACATATACTCACATATCATTAATACACTAGTATTTTAACGTAGATACAATAGACAATAGTTCCAGAATGAAGGTGGTTCAGCTATTATCACTAAGACGTGTAATAATGGTATTAGAGACCTTCTTATTATAGAAGATTATATAGTGACTTGAATATAATGATGATCGTCTCCAATATATATATATATATATATATATATATATATATATATATATATATATATATATATATATATATATATATATATATATATATATACATATATGTCGTACCTAGTAGCCAGAACGCACTTCTCAGCCTACTATGCAAGGCCCGATTTGCCTAATAAGCCAAGTTTTCCTGAATTAATATATTTTCTCTAATTTTTTTCTTATGAAATGATAAAGCTACCCATTTCATTATGTATGAGGTCAATTTTTTTTTATTGGAGTCAAAATTAACGTAGATAGGACAGAGACACACACAGAGAGAGAGAGAGAGAGAGAGAGAGAGAGAGAGAGAGAGAGAGAGAGAGAGAGAGAGAGAGAGAGAGAGAGAGAGAGAGAGAGAGAGAGAGAGTGTGTAGGCTGTATCAGGCCATCTCTCATGATAAGGCAGGGGGGGAGGGGAGGAGAGAGACTAAGGGGGGGGGGGGGGGAGCAGGCACCACTTACCCACAGAGGAATGTGCGATAATCCCCACCCCAGAAATGACTTATTGACACACCTAAATAATTCATGTTGGGCTGGCTCCCCGCGCCCAGTCCCCACCCTCCACATACCCAACCCCTGGTACCCACGTACCCACATACCCAGTACTACCCACCAATACCCCACCTCAGGTATGCAAACCCACAATACTGGCATCCAATACCCACTGATGCCCAAACCCTTCACTTTTGGCACACCAGTACTCAGTTTGGTGCCCCAAACCGATAATACTGGGCACTCAATACCCACTTCTGGTACCTATACCCACAATCATCATTCTCAATTCGGTAACAATACCACAATTAGAAAATACGTTGGAGCTGTAATGTGGATTCGAACCGTATGATCTGGGTATTGGGAATGTGCTCTTCTTGTGAATGAGCTAGCAACCAGAGGTCTCCTAGCAACCAGAGGTCTCCTAGCAACCAGAGGTCTCCTAGCAACCAGAGGTCTCCTAGCAACCAGAGGTCTCCTAGCAACCAGAGGTCTCCTAGCAATTAGAGGTCTCCTAGCAACCAGAGGTCTCCTAGCAATTAGAGGTCTCCTAGCAACCAGAAGACTCCTACCAACCAGAGGTGTTCTAGCAACCAGACGTCTCATAGCAACCAGAGGTCTCCTAGCAACCAGAGGTCTCCTAGCAATTAGAGGTCTCCTAGCAACCAGAAGACTCCTAGCAACCAGAGGTCTCCTAGCAACCAGAGGTCTCCTAGCAACCAGAGGTCTCCTAGCAATTAGAGGTCTCCTAGCAACCAGAGGTCTCCTAGCAACCATAGGTCTCCTAGCAACCTGAGGTCTCCTGGCAGCCAGAGGTCTCCTAGCAACCAGAGGTCTCCTAGCAACCAGAGGTCTCCTAGCAACCAGAGGTCTCCTAGCAGGTCTCCTAGCAGGTCTCCTAGAGGTCTCCTAGCAACCAGAAGACTCCTACCAACCAGAGGTGTTCTAGCAACCAGACGTCTCATAGCAACCAGAGGTCTCCTAGCAACCAGAGGTCTCCTAGCAATTAGAGGTCTCCTAGCAACCAGAGGTCTCCTAGCAACCAGAGGTCTCCTAGCAATTAGAGGTCTCCTAGCAACCAGAGGTCTCCTAGCAACCAGAGGTCTCCTAGCAACCTGAGGTCTCCTGGCAGCCAGAGGTCTCCTAGCAACCAGAGGTCTCCTAGCAACCAGAGGTCTCCTAGCAACCAGAGGTTTCCTAGCAACCAGAGGTCTCCTAGCAA